ATGTATAGGTGCCTAATAGGTAAATCATTTTTAAGGTATTCTACATTTTACGTTAAATTTTCTTTGCCACTATTCAATAATTATTTATTGGTATAAGAATAATTTACTAATTTATAAAAGGAATATCACTTTAAAAACTGTTTTAGATTACACAAGTTTTTGATACAATTTCTTGTATAATTTAAATTGTTTATTATTAAACCTGCAGTAAATTGTCTGAAAAATTAGACTGGATAATCATTTTTCAAACAATTCACTATGTGATTCTATACAATTTAAATTCTATAATAAATTGCACCAAATCTTGATCAAAAAATTGTGTAGTCAAAACAGTCTTAAGACGGGTGCCCTACTCCACTGGTTCAAAAGAAAACAACTTATCTTAACCTAAAAATACTTACCGATGAAAGGATAAATTTTACCTTATTGAAGAACACTACACATGCATGTACCATAATTCTTTATATTTCTCACAAAAGTGCACAAAAATAGTATTTTATAAATGAATAAATCAATAAGTCACACAGAAACTGTCAGAAACACAAAATAGCTGTTAGACCCGATTGGCAACGTTGCGGCTGGTTACGGTAACTACGTTTCATTCATAAAAATAGGTACTAGTTGTAAATTTGTAAAATAAGATATTCAGCAATAATTTGATTAAAAATATATTTTTCTTTATATAATATAAAATTATAGTTATAGGATGCATCAAATTTTATTTTTCGAAAGTAATTTCTCCAAATAATTTTTACAGATTGATAAAACCGACAAAGACGCAATAAACGAAAATCTGGTGGGAATAATGATTTGCCACATAAAAATGTAAACAATTTGGTCTCTTAGTTGTAATGTCTTTGGATTTGCGTCATAACTGATATAAGTTATTTGCAAGAATTAAAAAAAAATTATATACAGGATGTTTACAGGATGTTAAAAAAATACCACATGATAAGGTATATTGAATATGTTTTAATTTACTCGTTTATTTACACAAATTTTGTTCGTGATCATTATTTTTTGTGTATTTATTGTGTTCGTCATGATTTTATTAAAAAGTAACATTATAAGTGTTAATTATAATTCAATTTAATATTTATTTCTCACAAAATTTGTCTCAAAAATACTATAGCACATTACTTATTTTAATGTCTTTTATTAAAAGGAAACATTACAAATGTTCATTATCATATTTAATTTTTATTTGTAGAAATTTTGTTTTGTGAACATTATTTCTTGAAAATTATATGTTTTTAACAGGACTTTTAATAAAGAAAAACACCATACTATATACTTTTATTTCATATACAAATATACTTATAGTAACTTTGTAGTTAATTTTTCATTTTATGTTTGTCTATTATTGAATTTTCCAAATTCATCAAATTTAAACGTGTTTTTGAATGGGTTTACTTACTGTAAATAGGAAAATTTTAAAATAAAAATAACCATGTAAAGTTTTTATTTATACTTTATTAATTGAAACGACCCAAAATGAATATCTATAAAAAAGTTTTTAATAAAATAAGAAAATAAATTACCCTATAAAGATTCTATTATATTACCTTCTGTTTTTGGCAAAAGAAAGGATGGGACCAAGAAAATCGGGTGGCACAAAATTGATCGAAAACATTTGATCGAATACATTTGATCGAAAACATTTGATCGAATATATTGGATCGAAAAAACATTTTATCGAATTACAATTGATCGAAAAGAAAAATGATCGAACAGAAAAACGATCAAAAAGAAAATTGATCGAAAATAGATTTGATAGAAAAACCAATTGATCGAAAAACCAAATATTCATAAAATTATAGAATAATAAGAAAAATGAAAACAAAAATTTTAACTAATTTACCTAACCTGTGTGGCCTAGAATCATCGCTGGTTGCTTGGCAAAAACAAAAAATTAAAAATAAAATAAAGTTAAGTAACGTACCTAACTAACCCAACTTGTGCGAGAGCAATCAATTAAATTTGAATAGCTAAGGTTAGGTAAATTAGTTTTTTTATTTTTATAATTTTTTTTGCGAGGCAAACCGCAACGTTTTTAGACTGGAGCAATTTAACCGATTGCTCTGATACAGGTTAGGTAAGTTGGTTAAGTTTTATAAAAATAAATAAAAATAAAGAAAACCTAACTAATTTACCTAACCTGTGCGGCCTGTGGCAATTTAACTAATTGTTCTGACAGAGTTTAGGTAAATACTTAGCTAAAACTTAACTAACTTACCAAACCTGTGTCAGAGCAATTAGATAAATTGCTCCAGGTGGTACAGGTTAAATAAATAGGTTAGGTTTGCTTCATTTTTCCTTTTTTTACAATATTTTTTGCGAAGCCACCCTCGAGGGCTCCAGGCCGCACTGGTTAGATAAATTAGTTAAAGTTTTTGTTTTCAGTTTTTTATTTTTCCATAATTTTTTGCAAGGATAACCGCGTAATATCCAGGACGCACAGGTTAGGTAAATTAATTAAATTTTTTTTAATAAAAAAAAAATTAACTTATCTAACATACGCGAGAGCAATCAATTAAATTTAAATAGCACAGGTTAGGTAAATTAGGTAAGTTTTTATTTTTCCCTTTTTTGTATAATTGTTTTTGTGAAGCAACCCTCGAGGGCTCCAGGCCGCACAGGTTAGGTAAATTATTTAAAAATTTTGTTTGAATTTTTCTTATTTTTCTATATTTTTTGCGAGGCAAACCGCGACGGTTCCAGGTCGCACAGGTTAGGTAAATTAATTAAATTTTTTATATAAAAAATCTTAAAATGATTTACCTAAAATGTCCCATCGGGATACAACTCGACCTTATTGAAATACATATTTTGTGCGATTTAATCACATTTTTTTTAATCCAAATGAAGATAACCGTTTAGCTCTAAAATTTATTTTTAAATTAACAGTATTGTAAGGATAACATTTGTTAAACGAGGTAACTATCATTTGAAATGATTAAAAAATTTGCCATTAGTACCTAATTTTGATAGCAGCTTAGTTTAGTTTCCCTGGTAGTAGGGATTAGACGGACGCTTGAATAGTATCGTTTGATTTTTTGATATTTTACTATTTTTAATGTTGATTTTCAATGTATTGTCCTTTCGATCTAATAAATTTTCGATCTATTGTCTTTTCGATAAAATGTTATTTGATAAAATATATCTTCGATCAAATGTTATTCGACCAAATGTATTTTCGATTAAATTCCATTCGAATAAATGTATTTTCGATCAAATTTCCAATTCGATCAAATGTTTTTCGATCAATTTTGTGCCACCCAAGAAAATCATGTACCCTATGACGTTAATCGTTTCAATCCCAACCAATTACCACCTTCAATAGAAATATCAAAAAGACTATTGGCTAACATAATTGGTATTTTAGTTTCCTTAACAGGAACAATTTCAAACTCTTTCAGCAAATAAAAGAAAATCACTTTTATTTCCAAAAGGGCATATCTGGTTCCCATACAACCTCTTGGTCCTAGTCCGAAAGGCATATACGAGTTTGGTGCTATATTTCTTTTATTTTCTTCATTAAATCTTTCTGGATCAAAACGATCAGGATTTGGAAATAATTTTGGATCGTGATGTATTCCTAAAATTGGTATCATAACCACGGTTCCTTTTTCTAAATGTATGGGTTTTTCGTTTGAAGATGATGGATCGATGGTGTAGGGGTTTGTAGAAACTCTATCCACTGCTATAGCTGGAGGCCATTTTCTTAAAGACTCTAAAATATGACAAAATATGCATTTTATAACTGTTTCTTATTATTGTAGACTTGGGTAAGTATGAACGCTTTTGCCAAAAGATTAATTTAAAAATTAACACCATTGACACTTGGTTACCGCATACTTTCTTAAGTAATATTTTACATTGAATATTAACAGATAAAAAGGCAGTTCGAGAGCTATGAGGGGCTTATTTATATTTTATTATATGTGGCATTTTTTCCTTTTATGTCATTATTTACTTAAATAGGGTTAATGTAATAATCTTTACTGGCATGTTATTAACTTTTGTATAATCTAGATAAGTATGATTTCTACAGTAACACATTATTTTCTAACCATCTATAAACTTCCAATTTTTTTAGAATAATTCCACTAATTTTCTAAAATGAAGACCATATATCCAATAAGGTGGATGAATACAAAAAAATTACGAAACAAAAAAGAAAACAAATAATAAATAGTGCCGATGTTCTTTGAGCTAAAGTTTACTGAGATGATAATAAAAAAAATATAACGATATAATTTTATACCAATTTTGAAATGCGCTGCACTTACCTGAAACTACCATGTCCATATACTTCATTTTCATAATAGCATCGTACGTTAATTTTCCACCTGTTTCTGTCAAAGTTTCTATAATTTCTTCTCTTAATAAATTTTGTACTTCCGTATTTACAGCCAACTCGTAAGCCATGAATGACATTATAGTGGACACCGTCTCAAATCCAGCGAAGAAGAACATTAGAGCTTGTGCTGTTATGTCTTCATTCGAGAAGTGTTTTGTTAATTTTCCTACAAAAAATAAAAATAATTATGTCTATGCATAAAACTATTTTTATTGATTAAAGATTTAACTATATAAGCCATGTCTATTGAAGTATCTGTAGAATAGTAGTTTGTGCAACAAGAGTGGATAGTATGGCCATGTCGTATGAAGACGAAGTTTGACCAGATGCCGTAGCCGTAGTTTTTTAGAAAAGAAAGCCTCCTTAAAATTTGTTGTCGGATTTCCATCATAAAACAAATGTGAAATAAACCATTTTCACTGATTTTTTGTTGTAGAAACAGCTAAATATAAATATTAAACAATTTATAATTTTTAAATACTTTTTAAATACCTTTTAAATACTTTTTAAATACTTTTAAAATACTTTTTAAATACTTTTTAAATACTATTTAAATACTTTTTAAATACTTTTTAAATACTTTTAAAATACTTTTAAAATACTTTTTAAATACTTTTTAAATACTTTTTAAATACTTTTTAAATACTTTTTAAATACTTTTTAAATACTTTTTAAATACTTTTTAAATACTTTTTAAATACTTTTTAAATACTTTTTAAATACTTTTTAAATACTTTTTAAATACTTTTTAAATACTTTTTAAATACTTTTTAAATACTTTTTAAATACTTTTTAAATACTTTTTAAATACTTTTTAAATACTTTTTAAATACTTTTTAAATACTTTTTAAATACTTTTTAAATACTTTTTAAATACTTTTTAAATACTTTTTAAATACTTTTTAAATACTTTTTAAATACTTTTTAAATACTTTTTAAATACTTTTTAAATACTTTTTAAATACTTTTTAAATACTTTTTAAATACTTTTTAAATACTTTTTAAATACTTTTTAAATACTTTTTAAATACTTTTTAAATACTTTTTAAATACTTTTTAAATACTTTTTAAATACTTTTTAAATACTTTTTAAATACTTTTTAAATACTTTTTAAATACTTTTTAAATACTTTTTAAATACTTTTTAAATACTTTTTAAATACTTTTTAAATACTTTTTAAATACTTTTTAAATACTTTTTAAATACTTTTTAAATACTTTTTAAATACTTTTTAAATACTTTTTAAATACTTTTTAAATACTTTTTAAATACTTTTTAAATACTTTTTAAATACTTTTTAAATACTTTTTAAATACTTTTTAAATACTTTTTAAATACTTTTTAAATACTTTTTAAATACTTTTTAAATACTTTTTAAATACTTTTTAAATACTTTTTAAATACTTTTTAAATACTTTTTAAATACTTTTTAAATACTTTTTAAATACTTTTTAAATACTTTTTAAATACTTTTTAAATACTTTTTAAATACTTTTTAAATACTTTTTAAATACTTTTTAAATACTTTTTAAATACTTTTTAAATACTTTTTAAATACTTTTTAAATACTTTTTAAATACTTTTTAAATACTTTTTAAATACTTTTTAAATACTTTTTAAATACTTTTTAAATACTTTTTAAATACTTTTTAAATACTTTTTAAATACTTTTTAAATACTTTTTAAATACTTTTTAAATACTTTTTAAATACTTTTTAAATACTTTTTAAATACTTTTTAAATACTTTTTAAATACTTTTTAAATACTTTTTAAATACTTTTTAAATACTTTTTAAATACTTTTTAAATACTTTTTAAATACTTTTTAAATACTTTTTAAATACTTTTTAAATATTAAACAATTTATAATTTTTAAATACTTTTAAATATTTTTAAATACTTTTTAAATACTTTTTAAATACTTTTTAAATACTTTTTAAATACTTTTTAAATACTTTTTAAATACTTTTTAAATACTTTTTAAATACTTTTTAAATACTTTTTAAATACTTTTTAAATACTTTTTAAATACTTTTTAAATACTTTTTAAATACTTTTTAAATACTTTTTAAATACTTTTTTTTTAAATACTTTTTTTTTAAATACTTTTTTTTAAATACTTTTTTTTTAAATACTTTTTTTTTAAATACTTTTTTTTTAAATACTTTTTTTTTAAATACTTTTTAAATACTTTTTAAATACTTTTTAAATACTTTTTAAATACTTTTTAAATACTTTTTAAATACTTTTTAAATACTTTTTAAATACTTTTTAAATACTTTTTAAATACTTTTTAAATACTTTTTAAATACTTTTTAAATACTTTTTAAATACTTTTTAAATACTTTTTAAATACTTTTTAAATACTTTTTAAATACTTTTTAAATACTTTTTAAATACTTTTTAAATACTTTTTAAATACTTTTTAAATACTTTTTAAATACTTTTTAAATACTTTTTAAATACTTTTTAAATACTTTTTAAATACTTTTTAAATACTTTTTAAATACTTTTTAAATACTTTTTAAATACTTTTTAAATACTTTTTAAATACTTTTTAAATACTTTTTAAATACTTTTTAAATACTTTTTAAATACTTTTTAAATACTTTTTAAATACTTTTTAAATACTTTTTAAATACTTTTTAAATACTTTTTAAATACTTTTTAAATACTTTTTAAATACTTTTTAAATACTTTTAAAATACTTTTTAAATACTTTTTAAATACTTTTTAAATACTTTTTAAATACTTTTTAAATACTTTTTAAATACTTTTTAAATACTTTTTAAATACTTTTTAAATACTTTTTAAATACTTTTTAAATACTTTTTAAATACTTTTTAAATACTTTTTAAATACTTTTAAATACTTTTTAAATACTTTTTAAATACTTTTTAAATACTTTTTAAATACTTTTTAAATACTTTTTAAATACTTTTTAAATACTTTTTAAATACTTTTTAAATACTTTTTAAATACTTTTTAAATACTTTTTAAATACTTTTTAAATACTTTTTAAATACTTTTTAAATACTTTTTAAATACTTTTTAAATACTTTTTAAATACTTTTTAAATACTTTTTAAATACTTTTTAAATACTTTTTAAATACTTTTTAAATACTTTTTAAATACTTTTTAAATACTTTTTAAATACTTTTTAAATACTTTTTAAATACTTTTTAAATACTTTTTAAATACTTTTTAAATACTTTTTAAATACTTTTTAAATACTTTTTAAATACTTTTTAAATACTTTTTAAATACTTTTTAAATACTTTTTAAATACTTTTTAAATACTTTACTTTTTAAATACTTTTTAAATACTTTTTAAATACTTTTTAAATACTTTTTAAATACTTTTTAAATACTTTTTAAATACTTTTTAAATACTTTTTAAATATTTTTAAATACTTTTTAAATAAAAGATTGAACAAAAAAGGTTAAAAACATGTTTCTAGTGGGGGAGTCCCCTTTAATTTTTAATTCATTTTAATTTTTATTACTTGTTATTATGGTAGCTACAGAAATAAAATAAAATTTTATGAAAATTTTAACTGTCTACCTATTACGGAATGTGTGATAAAGCCCGCTAACCGACAGACGGACGGACAGCATAGGCTTAGTAAGAGGGTCTTGTTGGTTACTGGTCGAGTACGAAACTCCTTAAAAGGACATGCATTTTAATAAAACATCAACTCAATCACAGAACACTGAACTTAATGTAAAATTGAAGTTTGTGTATCATCTTCATCAGACAACCATTCTGCTTAGGATACCCAATTTGCTCTTGCAATTTTCTACCTCAGAAAATCTGTTTGGAGAATATATATTGTAATTTTGCTAACAAATTTAATTTAGAAACGTTATTTGCTTTTTCTTACCCGATGTTTGATCAACAGTTGCCTCAATTACATTATTCTCTTCGCTACTATCGATTCCCTTTCTTGCTTCCATTAAAATATGGATCATGTCTTGTCTAATAATTCCCTTTTCTTCTCTATTTTTGACAGAATCATCTATTACTTTTCTAAAGAATGTGTTAACATCTTCATCAAAGACTTTCATACCTAAAATCTTCAAACATCACATGTCAGAGCGTTGTTCGTTTAAATTTAATGTGTCAACGAGAATTAATTAGGCATTCCAACGACCTGTCCAAATGGCTACCGGTCACATACTTTGATTACTATACGGGACAAGAGAGAGGTCCGACACGTCCAACATAGGGCGCGGCCATTTTGAACCCTATGACACAGTTTATAGCTAAAGAATCAGATCGCTCACTCTGCGTCGGCACTTTTTATCTCAATGTTCCAGTTTATATACTGCGCAACTCAGATAATACAATATATGACAATCGCCTATAATAAAACAGCAGTCTTCTGCGTATTTTGAATTTGTATCCCTGGAGTGGATGTTATTTTAGAACTTTCAACTGGTCCGAGTGAGCTAACTGATTCTTTAGCAATAAACTGCGACTCCAAAAATACTATTCACTGACACTGACAGCAGCAAGCAAAACATCAGGTGCGTTTTAATCAGCCGCTTCTGCTTCCGGAACTATTGGTTCAGTCGTTCTAACCTGTCAGATTAAAACAAGAAAACCGACAATTCTGAAGCAGAAGCGGATGATTAAAACGCACCTATTAAAAATATTGCGCCAAGATGTAGGCAACACGTAATAAGGGTTCAAAATGGCGGAGTTTTTCTATCTCCTTTTAAAAGGCACTCAGAAAGCTGCGCAGTGCGACCATTCTCCGTATAGTAAAAGAAAATCAAAGTATGTGCTACCGGTGGGGACTGACAGTTTAGATATGGCAACCCTGTTGTCATGTTGTCATTAACAGGGTCAATGATACATAATAGTTATATAGATTGCTCACAGCTGGTCGTTTGCGAGCAGCCGTATTGCCTGGGCAAATATTTATTAATTTGAATCCGTTTAGCAAAAATGTGTTTTAAAACCAATTTTCAGCCTTTAGATATTTAAAAATAAATAATTGCTTACATTTTTACTTCAAGGCATAAGCTTATGTTTATTTTGAAAAATTTGGATGATCAATTTATCTAACTATCTATTTCATTGACCTTGTCAAATCACCAGGCCTACAGGGTTGCCATAATTTTACCATAACCTGTCAAAATCCACTGGTAACCATTCAGTTTGGAATGCCTAATTCGGTATTTTAGTGACTTAAATTTTGAAAATTAACCTTAAAAATGCCAAGATGTGTTGTGAGATGCTGTATTTATAATAAAAGTGCAAAGTGTGACGGTGAGTTATTTAAGTTTTAAAGATTCTATTGACGGCCATATTTGTTTATTTGGAAATAAACAGAACCGGACTTGGCCATTGGTACATGTTATAAGTATCAAATAAAGGTTATTACTATAAACTGTTTACTATTTCTTGTTTTATGGGGAATCTTTTTTCAGGAAGTGGAAAGAGTAACATAAAATCAAATACAAAAATATCAATTTCATTACCAATTTATTCGTTTTAAACTTTACAACTGGTTTTAATAGTTTTTTCGAAACTATTTATTTGGTATTTCTCTATAATAATATGGGATCAGTCCATTTAATTTATATTTTGTTTAAAAGTTATTATTTATAAGTTAATTTTCTTTAATATAAATACCCTTTATACAAGGTGAACCAACGAAAACTTGATGGGAGTTTTGAGTATTAATATCATGGATGTTAAAAACGCTCGGACAGATCGATTTTAGTTTGAAGAAGGACATATTTTTATCATATGTCGAAAAATCGAAAAATCGAAAAATAGAAAAATCGAAAAATCAAAAAATCGAAAAATCGAAAAATCGAAAAATCGAAAAATCGAAAAATCGAAAAATCGAAAAATCGAAAAATCGAAAAATCGAAAAATCGAAAAAACGAAAAATCGAAAAATCGAAAAATCGAAAAATCGAAAAATCGAAAAATCGAAAAATCGAAATATCGAAAAATCGATAAATCGAAAAATCGAAAAATCGAAAAATCGAAAAATCGAAAAATCGAAAAATCGAAAAATCGAAAAATCGAAAAATCGAAAAATCGAAAAATCGAAAAATCGAAAAATCGAAAAATCGAAAAATCGAAAAATCGAAAAATCGAAAAATCGAAAAATCGAAAAATCGAAAAATCGAAAAATCGAAAAATCGAAAAATCGAAAAATCGAAAAATCGAAAAATCGAAAAATCGAAAAATCGAAAAATCGAAAAATCGAAAAATCGAAAAATCGAAAAATCGAAAAATCGAAAAATCGAAAAATCGAAAAATCGAAAAATCGAAAAATCGAAAAATCGAAAAATCGAAAAATCGAAAAATCGGAAAATCGGAAAATCGGAAAATCGGAAAATCGAAAAATCGAAAAATTGGAAAATCGGAAAATCGAAAAATCGAAAAATCGAAAAATCGAAAAATCGAAAAATCGAAAAATCGAAAAATCGAAAAATCGAAAAATCGAAAAATCGAAAAATCGAAAAATCGAAAAATCGAAAAATCGAAAAATCGAAAAAGGGAAAAATGGAAAAATCGAAAATAATTATTTTCTTTTGGTGTGATTGTAGAAAAATCTCTTGTGTTATTCTAGCAGAAAGTACTTTGGCTGTTTCGATAAACTGTAATGAAGTCAATTTTTTCTCAATCAGTTTATTTTCATTTTTCATTTTTAATAAATATTAAACGCGATTGAACTGTTGGTCTTAAGTTAATTTACATGCGTTGGTAAGGTCTCTGATAGGAAAAGGGAATCAGCAAGCTGAACCAGGCCCGAGAGGCAATTAAAATTTTTAGTTCGATATAATAATTGATTTCCAGTAGTTTAGAATATTAGTTGCCTTCTCAAATCATTTCACCGCCGATAATTTCTTTTCTTTCTCGTGTTTATAAATCCGTTAGGTAAAAAAACTCTGTTTCGCTTTTTACGTTTTATATTGAGACCGTATTTCATTTTAAAAACCGAATTAGCTTGTAGAAATAGGAACATTTTAATTCAGTGTTAAGTTTAAAGATTTAATTTGATTTAATTAATAAATATTAGAATTTATTTCTTGGCAAAAATAATACCGCTTCTTTTAAGGGAATAGAATTTGATTTAAATAATAAATGATAGGATTTAGTTCTTTAATATTGTAATACCGGGGATTTAGACTTTTGATCGTTAGTCTGTACTAAGAAATTAATCTTTTTCTTTTTGGTAGGTTAAATCGGGAATTAAATTTGATTTTATTGATAAATACTTTTGTTTAGTAAGTGCCGCGTTTTAACTAAGTTGGGAATATTTATAAACGGAGTTTTCGAGGAGACGATTTCCCACTTTTAATAGTTTGTTTATTCTTTTACCGTATATTTAAATAATATTAAATATCATGCCCTATCTGAACGAGCTCGTGATGATGATCAGTTCAGTCTTGGAGTAGGTGCTATCCGCGTTATTTTTTTAGTTAATGTGTAAACCGCAAATTTAAAGAATCTTAAATAGTATCCTGTCCCTGTCTGAATGGGCTCGTGATGACGATCAGTTCATTAGGTGCTATCCGCATTAGTTTTCTTATTCCGTTTGTATTTTTTTTTTCTCGTGCAAATTGCAACTTACAGAAATCTTAAATAGCTTCATTACCCTGTCTGAGCGGACCCGTGATGACGATCAGCTCATTCTGGGATAATAGGCTACCCCGGATATAAATTTATTTTTATTTTCTTTCCGTATATTTACTATAAGTAATTCTTTCGCGTCCCTGTCTCCTTGCACTCTCTATGACCGTTTAGCTAATTTTTCCTTACCGAAATAGTAAAATACCTACATTTAAGTTTAATTCCCGATACAACAGTTAAACAGTTAATTTTTGCTACGACCGTTCTTAGAATTTTTCCTTACCGAAATGGGAAATTTTGTTTTAGTTTAATTACCGTCTAAATAGCCAAGTTAATAATTGTTTTCTGCGACCGAAACATTCATTTTATTTTAATTCAATTTTGACGTCTGATTGAGACTAGTCGGGATTCAATACCGTCCGTTTTGTTTCTTTATTTTTTTTTTCAGGGTTATATTGACTATCACCACAACTAGGGTGGGCGTTGAAATATATAATTTCTTTTTTTTATGTTGTAAATAGTTCAAAACAATATATGTGTCAATGTTAACTTGCCGTATTACTGGTTACTAATTCCATACATTATTTCCCCCTTGTATTTCAGCTAGTGATAAGTTCTGTACCAGCCCAAGCAACGATTAAAGCCCGTTACTTGTGGATTACTATTACCTGTGTCTAAGTGACCTTTGACCCCTGGAATTTTTCATCTCCATCTGTAGCTACCCGAGTGCTTTCGACGCCGTTTGGAAAGTTTGTGGAGTAAACCATAACCAAAAATCTGGTGCTCGTGAACCGCCCGTAACCAGCGTCATTCGTAAGGAACCGGGTTCTCTGTGGCGAGAAAACCCCTTACAAAATTTTTGTCTCAACAGCTTAAGTGTTATTTTCTGCTCTTAATACATAAATAGCTATTTTTTTACAATAATTTTATAAACTTTTACTTAGGGCCGACTCCACCGTAGTGTTAAACAAAGTTTAAAATACTAAACGAAGATTAAAATGTCATTTTTATATTACCAAAAAACGAAGTGTAAATTACTAAACGGAGATTAAAATTACATTTTTACGTTAACAATGTCATTTTAATTTTCGTTTAGTAATTTAAACTTCGTTTAACACAACGGTGGAATCAACCCTTAGCTGCTAGCTATATATTGATAAAGTGTTATTGCTCATCATAAATAATAATAATAATAATAATAATAATAATAATACTCTCCCTAATTCACCCCCTTACGAGTGAATTTCAACCCCTGAAGTCAACTGAACGACTTGTGTAGGGGAAGGGACGGCTATTATTATTATTTGCCGTGGCGCTCCAGGGCGACTTAAGGATGATTGATGGTGCCATTTGACTTACAGGTGAGGAAAATACGGAAAATCTCACCCACCATCATCGAGACGATAATGTATGGCGATTTTATAATCTGCATGTCATATCAATAGAAATTGAATTTTCTATTAATACGGCACACATCAAATCCTAAACCGAACCATGCAATTTAATTAAAAATCCACATGGTCTGGTCTGGGATTCGACGCCCAGCAGTCTCGGACTCATAAACTTGCCTATAAATGAATATAACCGCGTTAGACCGCTACACCATCGACCCGATAATCGTGCTAACAGACGGATTCAAAAATACGCTTCCTAATTTTTCATATTTTAGTTACCTACCAAAATTACTACAATACAAATATTTTAGTCCGGCCCAGAACATCTCCCTACTCCTTCCACCCAGTTATTCGGTTTTAGCAAAATTCGCACAGCGGAAAATGCTTCCTATGTTACCTCTACACTTTCTAACTTCTTTGGGTGTAACCTATTGATAATGACCTATACATATACCTGTGACCAAGGATACTTGATTCTCAAGTATCCTTGCCGGTAACCAAATAATAAAGGACGTAGGCGGTTGTAGGTTACAGCCTGTTTCTCAAAAACTATGCTTCATAGAATCTTGGAAAAACATTTCTAGATAAAAGTGGATAAGATAAATCGCTGGAACATATTTTAATTTCTAACCTGATCATATTGATTAAAATTTCGTAGAGAATACGATTTTCTTATTAAATTCAAAATCCTTCATTAAACGAAAAATCTCCCAAATATTTAAATCTTATTTACGACACCTAATAAATAATATCTATAACCACGTCCGTAAAATATTCAAATTTCGTGTACGTGTCTGGTAACTTAGATCATAAAACATATTTCTTTCACAAAGTATTCATCATTAAAACACTTAACTCGCTTATCTTTCTAGTTTTGGTGTTAAAATAAGTCAACCCCTTTGCAGCCACAATATTTTGCTGGGAACTAAAGATGTAGAGACGTCACAAAAGCCATTAAAGTTTAGTATTAAAAGAAAGACCCAAATAAGCTCGGATTCATTTATTTTTAATTATTTGATGTGCATGCATTCATTTTTTATTATTTGATGTGCAAGCATTAATTTATTATTTGTATCCAGTTACATTTCAAGTTCAGTAGTCAGTACCTTTCCTAAAATATTCTTCCTAAACCACGTCTATCGTACAATAGAGAGTTGAAATGTTTTCAGTATGTAAACGTGAAAAACGCAAAAAAATAATGTTTACATTGCAGTACAAAATATGAGTTAAAGTTGTTAAACGTATCGTGACATTTACGTGTCATGACAAATAATGACAATTAATGACAATTTATATTGGAATTTCTTCTTTTCCAATTAAAAAGGGGTTATTTTGTTGGCGTTACGTGTATATGCCAGAGCCCGTAAGTTTACGTATGTACGTAGACGTATACGTGAAGGATATTTTAATACGCATGCGCAGATGTCTAATTTCACGTGTACGTTTACGTTCATAACATCTCCTATTTATTCCCTAACGCTGTCAACGTCCCACGCCTTATATCCGACACTTGCCGTCCCTAAATATTTCCTTCATATCCTTCTCGACACCCTTCGTCACGTCCCGCACCACCTAAATAATTCTACCGTATATCTGTTCTAATGCAGTAACGTATTAAATAGCTTTCTTTTCACCACGACGCTAGGCGCCTCGATGCAAGGTGACGCTCAACGCTGCGACGTACCTAAATCGACGCCGTCACAACGCTAGATGAAATTAGTACATAATCTAATGTCTTTATTTTCAATGGTGAGTCAAAAGATTTATGTACCTTTCGTTGAGATACCACCGGGGTTTCGTTTAAACGAGAGCTTGACATTTGCTACAAAATATTAACAATTTAACCAATAAACCACATGGCCTTCAGGTCATACACCCCGAAAGACAATTAGGATAGACATCTGTTTCGATGGGTGAAATTTTGAATATTTCAAAAGAAATTATAAAAATCAACATTAAGAAATATACAGGGTTGTATTAAATAATTTCAATAAAAATTATAATAGTCAATATAAAAAATATACACGTATTAAGTTAATTCAATAGAAATTTTAAAAATCAATATTTTAGAAATATACAGGGATGTGCTATCTTGGATAAATTGTACAAACCAAGATGTAAAGTTTAATAGTAAGTTAACTAACTGGTGAATACTCTTTTCTTTAGCTCATGGGGGACACCTATATGCTAAGCAATCCGTTCTACTAGGTTTGAAACAAAGTATATGTGAAATCAACATAGTAAGGTAATTAACTGGCGAATTGGCGCTGTTCGTTACTTCCGTTGGTAATCACCTCTATACTCATCGAAATATTTACCTAAGAGGGTGCAACCTGTGTATATCTGGAATAGAATCAAATTAACAACAACACAATAGTTAACCAACTGGCGAATTGGCGCTGTTCGTTAACTCCGTTGGTCATCAACCTAAATAAAATATATATTGATAGCAAATGAATATGGTCTGCGTTTGAATGGGACTCAAGTGAGATCTCAGTAAATAGTACCAATTGTAATATGATTTGCTAATTATTGCATCACATTTAAATTATGAAAAATAAAAGAGTTTAAATATAAATTTGTCTGGTTTTATTTATCAATTTGCACCATTTGCATCGAATCCTGGTTTACTTTAATTAACATTATCACAACGTGGGTATATAAATTATCAATTAACTAGACGATCTCTTTTACTACTAGATGAATAAAAGGCCAAATACAGTAGGTATAGAATTTAAAGTAAAATAAACTTGTACGGTAAATAATAACAGCTCAGATAGTAAAATAACGAACAATAAATAGAGGGTACCGGGGGTGGGCCGTTACAAGCATTAGGCCATTTTGCGTCGAACATAGTAATTTCAAAATAATTTTGAGCGATTTCTAGAAACCTTGTATGGATAATAAATTATCTCAAAAATTCCGGAATGACCCTCACAAGCCTTTCCTATTTCAATTAATAATTTGTGAAAATTACCTTATATAGTGTTGGCGACATCATATATCCAAACAACTTCACAAATTTCGAAAAGCTTTTAAAATCAAAAGCCGTTTTACTCATTTGAAAAAACGTATTATCCTTGTCTCTTAACGAATCTACTTCCACTCCGAAAATTGTATTAGCAATGACATCATTGCAGAATCTCATAAAAACATCTTTCATTTCAAGTTTTATTACGATTTCGTCTTGATTTTTAAAATAATCAACAAATTTTTCAGTGGTTTCTTTCATAAGTGTAAATAACCATTTTATTTTGCTGCTGGTGAACGATGGACTCAAACTAGATCTCATGTTCTTCCAAGAGTGTCCTTAAAAGATCATTCTAAATTAATGTAGATAGAAACTTTTTTATTCGTATTAAAATTAATATACGTTTTACCTAAATGCTATGGGTAAAACGATCCCTCACATGGGGCAAAACGATCCTATTTTCAAAACATTATTTTATTACTACACTTTCGATAATTAATATAACAATAAATGCTAAACATTATTTATAAAAAAAGCATAAAACATAACATACAAAGCATTAAAAGATTTTAATACTCTTAAGGGAGTAAACAGAAACCTGCTCAATATTATTTAACAAAATTACCTTAAGCAACTTTTAATACCTTAACTAATTTAAAACTTGATATTTTTCTTAACTAGATAGGTTTGGGTTTGATGCAAACAGAAATCACACTCAAAATCGCAATCGTTCTCATCGACCCCGGCACACTGATCATGAGCCCATTTTAGGCATTTAATGCACCTGATCCATTCTTCGCCAGTCAAAAAAGCCGCGTATTTTTCGCAGCAAAAGATGCACTCTTCTGATTCTGATCCGCTGTTACTGCTTGAGCCATCACTTTCCTCCACTACTTTTTTTGTCTTCTTGTTTAATTTAACTTTTTTCGTGCTTTCTGACTTTGATTTTTTTTGCTTAGCCATTAATTTAATTTATTTCCTATTCTTCTCTTCAAACATGATTTTGTATGGGGTACTCGTGAGCAAAACGGTACCAACAGACTTTCGTTTTTGAGCTGCTCTCATTCCTTTAATTTTTGGAAGAGGATTGCAATTAGCAGGGGTTACGGTAAAGGAACTTTCCACTTCGACTTCACATTGGTCTGATACTTGATTTTTAATTGCTGGAGGGATATCCGGTCGTGTACTTGACCCAGGAATTGAAGAACTACGTAGAAGTGGGTTGGTTGCAAAGGTTTCTTCATTATTCTCTAAGTTTTCTTAATAATTTTGAGCAGCTTCGTGAGTCTCTTCCGTAACTTTTGCTGCTGCCAAATCAGCTTCAGAAAACATTTCAGGATCAAAACCAGTTTTTTTAAAAGCATCTAAAAGCATAAAAACATGCTTTTAGGTAAGCTTCTGAAAAGATTCTGCTTATCTGGAAAGTTGTTACTGTTCAGGCTAGATTATTGGTCATCAATTTTTCCAATGACTGGTTTATGTACGTGCTTAATGGATACATTAACCCTACATCCAACGATTACAACCTATGTGTTGTATGGGGGGGCAAGCATAATATTACAACTTTATTTTCTTTTGCTTTAGTCACGACGTTTAGATTTTTAGTGTGGGTCAAATGTCCAGCTAAAATTAGCAAGACGGGATACTCTTTAGTTGGCTTCGTAAAATAATTCAAAATGTGATCAAACCATTGGTCAAACATTTCTTATTTTATCTAGCCGAAATCATTGCAACCGAAAATAGTTTCAGGTGGAGCGCCATCCATCAGTTCCGCTTTCATTCTTTTTCTACTTAAAATAAGCATAGGAGGAACAGAAGCCCCACCAGCAGAAGCGCAAATTACAGCAGTTGTTGAAACTCCTCTTTCGGCTGATGTTACACGAGCAACTTGTTAACGACCTCTTTTTGCAAAAGTTTTTGAGTTTCTGCCAGGAACTGTTGACACAGAGGTCTTGTCAACATTAAAAACTGTGGGCAGGAAACTTGTACTGCTGCAAAATACTTTTAAGATCATAAAACTTTGAAACAACAATTTAATTAAACCCCTTGCGCGAGCTGCTGAAGTTGCTTCTGGAACTCTTAACGTTATTTCAGGGTACCTTTTTCGGAATCCGGAAAGCCAGTTATATCCAGCCATCTGTTTTTTACGGGAAAAAGTATGGGGAATTTTATTTTTTTTTCAGCCAACTGAAGTGCCTAGCGCCGAAGATAAATTACATTCTGGTTTCAAAGTCTAGAATATAGCGTATGAGTTCATTTTCCTGATCTACAGTAAATGTCGAAATTTTGCTGCCTAAACGTTTTATATTTTCTTTGACAATTCTATTTTTATTTTTAATTAAGGGACATTAAAGGCACTTAAAATGTTCGTGCAGCAGTTTTATATAACATACCATTATCTTTTACCTAGTTTATAGCGTTTGCCATGCTCTTAGGGTCCCAGTTTTGACGCTGAGTTTTGTGGTGGTACGTACGTGGCATCCTAAAAATAACCAGAACCAATATTGGTATCCAAATCAACTTATTGCTAGGTTTCTAAAAATGTATAGGGTAAAATGATCCCCGGATCATTTTAACCTATCATGAAGTAATCGTTTTACCCCAAAAGCAAATATTCTACAAAACCTAACCTACACATTTAAGACAATAAAATGCTGCGCATAGCAACACAAAGGTAAGTAGCCTAAACTTACCTGATTTCGAACCATGTTCAGTTTTTTAAATTATCGAATTGAATACCACTTTAACAATGCTGCGAAAAAACACCCTAAATAACATAGAAAATCAGAAAAACAATAATGCACGTGTAAATGGCGCTAAAATGAGCCTTACTGTTAATAGATTGTTGTCAGTCACTACATTTAGTCTTTCGATTATACTTCATCTATTACTCAACAGATGGCACTGTTAGTTTTGTTTATATTCGTGGGGATCATTTAACCTCGGAGGATCATTATACCCATAGATTAGGTAAAGTAAATAGATGGGAAACTCAATGGTAATATTCTGAGTCGATGTGCTGCCATCTATCAAATCGGAGTGGTACTAAAATTCAATATGGCCACTTAGCGCGGGCTTTTTGAAATTTAACTTTCTGCTAGTCGCCCAAAAATATAATGAAGAAAATCAAACAAAAAAAATAAATATTGTGCCAATTTATATTTTTATTTGATTTTACTTCATTATATTTTTGCATTAATTTCAAACTTGAAATAAAATGCAATTTATTTAATTATTTTTTAATACAGTAAATTAACGTCGCATCATTGTCTATTTAAACATAGAAATACTCAAACAAATATATGCATTTACATTTATATAATTAAATATTTATAAAACAAACCTATCAAAAATGTTTTCTGTAATACAATCATCACATATAAGTGCTCAAGACCTTTATAAAAGTTTTGCGAATAAAAGGCAAATAAGTTTGAAAAACTTGAAGTTGAAGCATCATCCTTTTGGTGTCTTATTATCAAGGCGAATTTGAGTGTGGATAAAATTTGCCATACTTTTAGTGAGTTGACTAGTTAGGTTAGGTTGGGGCATTTCTTCATCCGATAATTGTTTTATTGATTTATTTGTACAGCACTTGTAGCTATCAAATTCTTATTTATCATCTGGGTACTGTGATAAATGAATTTAACAACTTTCGAGCTTAAATTAAACTTACACACGTTTGGACCCTTGAATATTTTGGGGTATTTTCTTGTTTGATGTCAATGGCTTTGAATCAATTTTTGATATTGATGGCTGAGGCCCAAATGTTTCATCGATCGACAGGGTATTTTGGAGGGCCAACATTTTCTTTACAACAATGATCATTTAAAAACTGAAAACAAAAAGACATTTAAATAACAAACCAATTATTTTAACACTGAATCAAAAACAAGTTTGTAGATATTACTTACCGTTGGTGCCAGTGCAAGATGCATTTTTCTTAAGACACTTATAACAAATTGTTTGGTTATTCTTAATATGAGGACCACATATTTAATATGTGGTATAAATTGCATCAAAACCAATATTTGGGAGTGCTTATTGTTCGTCCATCTTCCATCTTCCCATATTTTGAAAACAGGCTTAAAATTGGGAAGGTGTTAAAAAATAAATCTAGATGAATGAAAATCCAATACACCTTCAAATGCAACAACCATTTTAATTTTTCTAATTTTGTTGTTTTCACGACGTGACATTTCGATACGAGCACCATCCCGTTAATTGGAGTGATACTAAATTACCATCCTCATGTTTTTCCATTTGAGTTACCAGCCCCTGATTATACCACAGTCTCCCCTACAAGGTGATTCATAATGAATTGTACATGACCTTTGTAAAATGTTGATAATGTGGGGATCATAAAATTAAAGTTGTAGTCGGATGGCTGCTTATTCCCACAAAATAAACCTGATGATAATTACATAACGGCATTTTACACATAACCAAAACTTAAACATAACCTAAAAGTACTTCGCACATCGAGATCATAAATCAATCTAATAAAAACGGAAACACAGGAGTGCGTTTAGAAACCTCGCACGGCGCGTCTGACCGTATACATTAGAATAGGGCCCAGACGCGCTGTGCGTGGTTTCTAAACGCACTCCTGGTGACCGACTGACAACTGTCAAGTGTCACCCTAAGCAGTAATACCAACATGGTTACTAATATTAACATGGCGCGAAATACAAATATACCTACAACAGTTAACAATTTACAGGATGGAAATATTTGATTAATTATTATATGGTATATAATAATGAATAATAGCGTAACAATAAATCTACAATAGTAGTTTTTGCAAAAAAAGTGGATATAATGGCCATATCACACGAAGACGAAGTCTGTGTACACTGAGAATAATTCAACAAAATATGCCTTTTTGGAGGATGATACGTTTGTTTAACAGCCAAGAACTAAAAAAAACTTATTGAAAGATTATTTCGCAATAAATAACCGCACACTGGATCAATTGGTTAGTGTAGACCAGGGGTCCTCACTAGGATTTTTTAGTGAGTCATTATGCTGATAGTAAATTTTTGTGAGGGCCGCAACTTCAACTTAAATTTAAAATGTTTTTTTCCGCTATTTGGTAAAAACTGAAAGATTTAAATTTTTATTATTAATTGTCATTATAACAATATCTGAAATTAAACATAGACGTTTTTAATATTTTTGCAATAGAAATTTGTTTTTTTTTCACTAAAATTTATTGTTCTTTTATTTTTTAAAATTTTATTATTGAAATATTAAACTAATACTTTTTTACCTTTTTTTACTGTGGGTACTATGGTAAAATTGGTAAATAATAAATATTACAAATTAAGAATATATGTTTATTACATTTAAAAAAATCCAGAAATATACATAATAGAAAGGTAAACAGCAAGTTTTTTATGTGTCCATTATACACACTTATGTATTTGAGGTGGATGGCCGGAATCTGTCGGCGTTCTGTAAAATGGCTTCAATGTTAGCAGGTTGTGAGGCAGCCGTAATTCTTAAAATGTTGTCAACATTCTCATTGGTAAGCCTGGATCTGTACTTGTTTTTTATGAACTTTAACTTGCTGAACGTAGATTCAGACACATATGTTGATGCAAAAATACATAAAAGTTTTTGTGCACATTCAACTAAGTTAGGAAATTTTTCCCTTTCCAACACTTTCCAAACCTCAAAATAACTTTTATCCTTCTTTTTATCCTCAAACATGGTTTTCAGTTCTGTATCTTGCTGAAGATCAATTAGCTCGTTTTTCAAGTCTCTAACTTCGTATCCAAAAATAGCGAGTTTTGCAACATTAGCAGTTGTTAATGCCCATGGATTCTCTATTAAACGAAATGGTTCTTGATACATCCTGAAGTCACTAAACCTCTCAGCCATTTCGTTTTTCAGATCAGTAAGCAGTTTTATTAATGCAGAAACATCTTTCCTTTCATCAGGGTTTTCTTCAAAAAGAGATTGAACAGAAGAAAAACTAGAAAAATCATTGTTTGATAGTTCTTCAATGTACATACTGAATTTTTTTTCTTGAGAAAACACAATTATCATCATTTTCGTAACAATTTTGTTCTGATCTCCTTGCAATCGGGTTAGTGTTTCATTGACAATGGCCATTGTATCAGTAAGGAACGCTACTTTTAACCACCAACCAAAGTCATAAACTTCAGGGTACTCTTTTTTCTTAGTAGCCAAAAATAAAGTGATTTCATGACGAATTTTGAAGAATCGTTCCAAAACTTTACCTTTGCTTAACCACCTTACTTCTGTATGGTAAAGTACATCTCCGTAGTGAGATATGAGTTCTTTTAAAAACTCCTGAAACATTCTGTGGTTCAATTCATTTGACCTTATAAAGTTCACAATATTTACAACTACTTTCATAACACATTTAAAGTTTTCATCAAACTTTATTGCTAAACTTTCTTGGTGAATGTTGCAGTGAACACTGATAATATTTTCATTTTCCAAGTGGTTCTTTAACAATTTAACGAACCCGATATTTCGCCCTGTTATTGATGGGCAACCATCTGTGCACACTGAAAAAAGTTTTTTCAAGTCAATGCTATATTTATTAAAAAATTTAACTACTGCGTCAAAATAATCAACACCTCGAGTTTGACCACTCATAGCAACTGTGCCCAAAAGATCTTCTTTAACATCCCCATCTTTAGTTACATATTTAACGAACAAGAGCAATCGGGATATTGATGTTTTACCAGTCGATGAGTCAAGTGCAAGGCTAAAACACTTGCTTTGTTGCAGTTTATCAATAAGATTAAGTAAAATGTTTGCAGCTAAATCTTGTGATCGTCTCATACACGTTGAATCAGACAGCTGGAGTTTTGAAACCTCGTCGAGAATTTGCTTACCGTTAGGTAAATGCGAAAACAATGTTTTACAAACTGTAACAACACATTCTTTTACCATTTCCGCATCTGAAAATGGCTTCATCTTACGAGCTAAAATTTCAGTTACAAGGTATGATGCTTTGGTAGTAAGCTCATTCTTGTTCATAGCATTAAAAAGTGTATTTCGTTCACAAACCAAAGCTTTTTTCAAGGATTGTAATTTTTCCTCTCGGAGTTTAGACTTTTTTGGAAACTTTTCTTCAAATTGCGAATGAACTGTAGTGTGGTGTCTTTGCAAGTTGTAACGTTTATTTCCCGATACAAGATCACGACATAATAAACATAAAGCTGTTCCTTCTTTCTTACCTTTCGTAAAAAAGAATTCTTTCTCCCACTCATTTTGAAAGTCACGGTTTTCTTCCTCAAGTTTCCTTCTTTTTCCTTTTGAAACCAACCCCGCCATATTTAGTAATAATGTTCAACAGTAACTGAAGCGATGAAAATTTTCCAGAAAGCAACGGCACTAATCTACAACACTCGAAATAAGGTTATATTTACTGAGCAACTTGTACGCGCCAAATACAATGAACGACTAAGCAGCAAGCAGACGGTGCACGACTTGTCGATGCATGAACTGAATTAGCTGTTTACAGTAGGACGTCGCGCCACGCGCCACGTTACAAAAAAATTTGTCTGAGCCCATCAACCCAAGAGCCGCACAAAATATTGCCGAGGGCCGCATGCGGCCCGCGGGCCGCGTAGTGAGTATCCCTGGTGTAGACGAAGATGATGGCCTTCCTCTTGCTTCTATAGCAATAGCAAAAGCACATAATACCACTCATCAGAAAGTGATATCATTGCAAAAATAATTTGAACTTAGTTTGACTTCTGAAAACATAATACGTGGTAGTCCTGCAGCTCCAGCAGTCCAACTTTCTAATTAATCTTCTCCTCGTATACATTTAGATTTATATTTTTGTATTTTAGTTCTTAAAACTACCTTTTTAGGCGACTGTCATAAAAACTGACATTTATCATACTTATCTTTAGTAATTCTGTACAAATTCTAATAGTTAACGTTGGATTTTTATTCGATAAAAAAAATAAAACCATTCTTATATTTAAACTTCTTTTCAAAAACAAGAATTTAACAAAATATTGGCTCTACTTGATGAGACAGTCGCCTAAAAAATATTGTGTGCACTTCGGTCGTATAATATTTTTTGGCCTAACCAGAAGTAACTTGGCCTCGGCCGAAAATTTCTGATTCGACCAAAAAAGATCAACTTTACGGCCTGGGTACATAAATAACCATTTGTTTATTGAATGTAATGAAAGTAAAGATATTTACCTTTCAAAGCGAACACATTTTTACCCCACAATGGATCAATATCTTCCGGAACCATGGTTCTTCTATCAGTAAAATGGTCAAAATCTTTGATTAAAAATTGTTTCATAATATCTGGAGTTTTTAAAACTAACACTGGGGTGTTAAATTGCATAATTCCATAACATCTAAAAATAATTAGATCTAGAATAATCACTTAGAAGTTATTGGAACAGGTAGGTACATACTTTTCATTTGGAAAAGCTCTTTGGAGTTGTTTTGCTACATTAGCAGCACTTTGTCTTTTGAAGATCATAAAAAAGTTTTCAACAAAAACGTTTAAAATAGTATCTTGTTGAACATTCCTGTTTTTCCAGTAATATAAATATTTTATGCAGTAAAAATAAATTAAAATTGGAATTAACGCCGTTAATAAAATCCACATCATTTTTAATATTCTGAATATTCTTAAATGGTAGTTTTTTATTTTCTGAAATAAAAAATAAATTATAATTTCCAATTTTTTTTTTTTAATTTAAGGGCGCGTCTGATTTACTTCAACTGAAATTGTCTATATGTTGGTCATTCTAACCAAATGACGTGTCCATTATACCGCTTAGACCAGAGGTTCCCAAACTTTTTTGTTTTGTAGACCACTTGTCATTTTTATGGTTTTGCATTTTTGAAAATTCAACAACTTCAAATTTGTTTTCACTGATTTCAAACTGTAGTGTGTAGAAAAAAATAAATAAAAAATGCACAATAATTTTTATACATTTAATAATGAAACTGAAATTAATCAAAATAAAATTAAGTAAAAATAAACACTTTTTAGTAGGACGCATGAACCTAGTGCTTTGATAATAATTTTTTTTACATTCGGTTTCAATTTAGTGAGGTTTAATCTTTTTTACTTTCCTATCTGTGTACAGATAAGGAAAATATAGGAATCATGATTTTTTCGACCTCGAGTTTTCGACGGTTTTTTACGTTTTGGGGTCCCCTGAATCCGTTTTGACTATTTTTATAATAATGGCAAACGGTATATTTTATTTAATTTTTGAATAAATAAATGCAACCTTTTTTAACATAAATTGGTGTGGTTTTCGATAAATATTTTTAACATTTTACAAAAAATCTGATGTATTAAACACCTGACTTTCCTGACTAGTTATTACAGGCGTGTTCGGTTATTTTGTACAACCTATTGTATCACCTCTGAAAATGTTTAGAAAATACATATATTTTCCATACACATCTTACTCGAAACATTTTTTTATATACATCCATCACCCATCCATTTACTGGAAAATTAAAATTACACTTTTTCTTAAATTACGGTCGATTTTAGAAAAATCATGCTTAAAATAAAAATTATAGAGAATGACATCGCCAACAACTTTTATTTAAACAATTTTCTTAAAAATTTAAATAATGCACTTTTTGTCAAATTTCTCGAATACGGACCATTTTAGAAGAATTATGCATAGGACAAAAATTATAGAGAATAATATTACTAGTAATTTTTATTTAAAAACGACCATCTATAAAGTCTCTCGCATTTGTTCCGATTATGCCCATAATCTAATGAGTTAACCGCAGGATGGATTAAAGTTTAAGTTTAGAATTTGGTACACACGCACGCACGCACGCACGCAAACACACACACACACACACACACACACACACACACACACACACACACACACACACACACACACACACACACACACACACACACACACACACACACACACACACACACACACACACACACACACACACACACACACACACACACACACACACACACACACACACACACACACACACACACACACACACACACACACACACACACACACACACACACACACACACACACACACACACACACACACACACACACACACACACACACACACACACACACACACACACACACACACACACACACACACACACACACACACACACACACACACACACACACACACACACACACACACACACACACACACACACACACACACACACACACACACACACACACACACACACACACACACACACACACACACACACACACACACACACACACACACACACACACACACACACACACACACACACACACACACACACACACACACACACACACACACACACACACACACACACACACACACACACACACACACACACACACACACACACACACAAACACGCACAAACACACACAAGAACACACATCTGTATACATACAATAAAGTAAAAAATATACAACATATTTACATTTATGATGCGCTACTGTCTGTTAACCTTGGTTCATTTCAATTTGGATTTTACATCTAATCAGACACAATCAATGTTGCCTATTTTTATTTAATTTCTGATTATATTTCACTATTTTAAAATGAGAATTGAAGCAATAAAAACAGTACATCCATTTAGCAAAGCCTGCATAGAATACATAATACATAACATGTTGATAACGAACAGATTTTGTTAATGCTGGTGACACCAATAAAAAAAGCAATAATTGTAGATTTTTAAAATGGCTTGTATTTAATTGACCATTTAAATTAACGAAAAGTAACAAATGTAGGTACTAAGAAAAGCTTTGATTATATCCGCAGTCACAAAATCCAATTAGACACACACAGGAAATGCTTTATTACCATGTAAAGCATGCTTATACCTACGATAGTTTCTGTCCTGCTGTCAGCAAGTCACAAGAGTGAAAAAGTAAAATGCAGCGTCTGAATGCAGCATTACTTTCGCACGGAAACTTGATGGAAACGTCTTTCCTGCAGTGTATGTTATTGATACAAATCCGGTTGTAAGTACATATATCTAATGATCCCATAATTTTATTCGATTGTGCTCAATTTGGAATTTATTTCTTTCAGACAGATCACATTTTCAAGTTCTTAAATTTAAATGTAGGTAATTTATTGAAACTAGTTCTCAAACGTCTTATACAAACTGATAATTAAAAAAGACGAATAATAATTATTCGCTCGACATAAGTGAATTTTTCCAAGGCCTAAATTAAAAATATTTTCTGTGTGTGGTTCGCTATTTAAAATAATAAAAGGCCAAGAAAGTACGATATTCAAATTTATATTAAAAAATAAATTCTATAAAAATTATTAAATAACAGGTACCATCGTTAAACAAGATTTAATTCTTTAATATTCACATTTTAAATAAAAAGTTTAGAGCCGGTTGCAACAACGTTCATTAAAATTTATGGGCTTGATAAACCTTGATAATGACATGAACTTCAAATTAGGCACAAGCTAATAAAGTTCGGTGAAAAAAAATGTAGGTACCACATTTTTTTAGACATCAATTTATGTTTTTGTGTTCTATATCATGTACAAATTTTGTGCGATTAAAACAGTGAGTATATATACCTTAGAGCATATAAGACTAGAGATAGCATTCAATGTATTTTGTTATGTATAAGCGGGGTCATCACTTCTGGCGTGAGGGGAGAAGGGTAGGTACGCCATTCTCAATGGCGTACGGTTTGAAAGGGTTCGTATTTATGTTTACCATTTATGCACTGTAATTTCACAATAACTAATAATTTAGAAAGTTGATTCGCATGATTAATAAACAAATTTATTAAACAATGTTCTTTTTCTATTTAGGTTAAGCTTTCGTTATACATTGTATTGTATATGTTTTACTGAAAATGACTATATGTTCGCTTAGGATTGAAAACTTTCTTTATTGTAGATATAGGTTTTGAAACTGTATGCTTTCAAAAGAATTCGTGATCACACATTAATTTCGTTTAGTTCAAGTAGATCATTTAGAAACAGAAATATTTTTTATATAGAGTAAATAAAGAAAAACGAAAATAAATAATAATAATTTATTTCTAGTAGTAATAATATTAAATGTACATGTTTTATATTAAAATTATTAATCAATGTAATCAAAACAAGAGATAATATAAAATATAGTAGATACCTAACTATTCGTAATAGACATATTTATTAACTTTACAAGCAGAACACAATAGCTTATTTTGCTTCAACTGACTGATTTTGTTGAAACTTGCTGCCAATATCAACATATCCAATATATTTTTGGCCAGTCCATTCCACCCTTTGCATAATAATTGCCATTTCATCCATGAAAAGATTTAAAAAAAAACTTTTTTATAACCTTTTTGACTTTCTCGCCTTTAAATGTCAATGTTCTTCAGTGAATCCAGGAGAACCATCAACAGCCTAATGTTACTTTGATAAAGTACTGGGACGTGGGAGAGAATTGTTAAATTTTTCCCTCACATATGTATAAGCCTTCATACTGTAGAAGCTTAAAGTTAGTGCTAACGAATTCAGGGGAGTATTTTGTTCTTTGCTCTCTTAACTAATTCCTTAAGGCGGGTACAGACCTGAGGACGTACGCGTATGAGGCAAGCCGAGGCCGAACTGAATGCCTCATGCGGCGCATTTTGTACATACGAATGGTATACGCACGAGGCACTGTTCGCTACTGATCCAGTCGATCCAGTGAATTCGCGAGCACGGAACCGTACACCCAGAACACTTGTATAATTAAAACAAAAATGGAGGTTTGGTAGTTGAGTGCCTATTTTATTAATTTGTCTTGATCTACATAAAATATCTCGCTGATCTAGGAGAAGCAAAACCTTTTCCTGATTCCACTTTATGCAAAATAAACCTTGAAAACTCGGTATTATCTATTTGGTTCAAATTCCCCGTCCAGACTGAACACGTACTGCGCATTGCCTCCCTTTGATGTACCGCCAACAAAAAAATCGGGGCGAGGCCGCACGGGACAATTTGCCGCGCCTCGGAAGCTCGTCCACATCTGCATGCTCATGCGTCCTCAGCTTGCCTCATACGCGTACGTGCTCAGATCTGTACACGCCTTAGATCCACTTGCAAGAGAAGCCTACACAAAATAAACTAATTTAATCCAAAATAACATATTTAAATAAAATGGTTCCTCATCATTAAAAACATTTATGAGTATTACTGGAATTAATTCTTACATCCACAAGTATATCTGTACTTTTTATAAAAGAGTTATTTTTTATATATCCTATCATACTATTTAAAGATTCCAATCTACTTTATAAAAAATATTTCCCCTAAGTTTTTCAATTACATTTTTTTTTTGGTATAGAATCTTCTTTTGGGCAAGAGCTAATTTTCTATAAAAAAATAACTGTTTAATTTTTTTCTTAAGCATTGCTTTCCTGAAATCATAATAATGCTTGATTATATGAGAAAATATCTTTTTGAAGTTCTCTTTCCCTTTTAGAAGGAGCTTACAGATATTGTGGTTCTAGGTGATGAGTTTATCAAATTTTAAACAATTTTTGTCTTTTAAAGAGAGTTAAAGTTCTCTGTCTTGCATATTTTCGTTCCTACAAACGAAATGTACATAAAATATGTATTTTGCAGATTTTTAATGATATACATTTAATTCAATTTCAAA